CATGGCAACTTGAAATTAATTCCTCCTAGAGTTGGGGTTCCCCTGCCGAGGCAAGAGTTTTTTTTTTTTTCCTTCTCAGAAATATAAATTTAATCAATGTAAACTTTACAATTTAAAGTTGAAGAAAAATAATGTTTTTATGGTAAGCGGCCTAAGCAGACAGGGCGTGCTTAGAAGCTGGATGTCTTGTTTTGAGGAAATACTTAAGTAACCTTTGGCATAGTGAAGCAGAACTAGAGACAGAGAAATCCTTCATCAGCTACAAATGCTAACTAAATAGTTACTTCTTAAATACTACCCAGGCATTCAGGGCAGAAAGAATCGCTACGCTAAACATTGATTGTATCAACCTGTATTACCTGTATTACCCTAATACAGAAATAATATCATGTGTTTGTTTTATACATCTATAAAAATATAAATAAAATAAATATATAAATATGTATATCGTATAATGCTATATATACTCATAATTTGTTAATACACAAATCTATACATGAATACATTTTTTCTAAAGCCTCCACTTATGTAAGTTAAATTACATATGTAAATTGCTGAGCATGACATTTGGTATATAGTAAAAGTGTTCATTAATGGTAGGTATTACTATTAATAACAACAATCACTTTCAGAATTATTGTACTTTACAAACTATGAACTAGCAAGCGTAATGTATTGTTACTTGTCACTCATGGCTAATGAAACCCCAAGGCAATTGTAAATTAGCCAACGAGATTTAGGTCCTTTTGTGCCTAGGAGAATCTTATTCTGTTAATTATTCTTTCACTGCAACTTACCCAAACAGCAAGAGTAGAAGAGATACAGCGCCTAGGTTGTTTTCACTGTAGAAGGCAGGTAATTTGAAAATTGCAATGATACCAATTGAAAATGCTACGGGCACCAAGTAGAAGACCTATGAGAATATGTAAAATAATGTTTAATACATGGCAAAATACTTTTTTAATCAATAGCCCATTTAGTTCAAAATTGTAACAAGTTGACCTAGAAATATTTGAAGGAATGAATTTTCACGTTCCTGTTGTTTGTAATGTTCGGCTTATTTTACATTGATTTCACTTATTTTACATTGATTTGTCTCCTGCAACGTGAGGTCAAGCCAGCTTCATCTGTATGGATATATATGGAATCTCTAGTGTTTCTGCCTCCAGGCTTTGAGATTTGAGATCATTCGGTGCCAGAGGTTCAATGAGAAAGATAAGACAGCCAGGTATCTTGGTATTAGATTCAGTCCTCAGAGTACTGACTTCCTTTGGAATGCTGGAACTCTCAGAAAGTCGATTTCTAAGGCTTGGTTAAATCAGTGTGAGCCACTTGGTACAAAACCGCAAGGCAGTGGGTTCTACGCATTCTTGGAATCACAGGTGTAAGAACAAAGAACTCAGTGTTTTATTGACAAGTAGACTTAGTAAATGCTGAGAGTTTGCAGCAAGATGCATGCAATAAAAGAGATGGGAATTTAATTTGGGGGGAAAATCTCCTAAATTAGAGTGAGCATCAGATATATGACAACAGAATCTAAATAGTAAGCAGCCCTTCACAGAACTGTGTATTCTTAAACTTTCTTAACATTAAAAGTCTTATTAACATTAAAGGTCTTAAGTCATTACCATTCTTTCAGATTTGACTTCTACAACAAATGCATTTCAGACTTCACTAGATACATTAACAAAATGGATATGCAGTTAATTACTTTCCAATCCTTTAAGCCAATGATCTTTGCAGCAACTCAGACAATTTCACCATAATCATCGGGCAGAGCATACTCATCCTGGGCTTTTGGCTGATACTGGCTCATTTCAAGTCAAGAAAAACCATCTTAACTTTGGGACCATTCTATGCAAATGCAAGAGCTATCAGTGAAATTCATCCTTTATTGTCCCTATTAATTTTCTCCAAAGTGTCATTCAGCAGGGGATGCTACTTTGAAATTTTTACTCTATTTTATTAAATTTTATAAGCATTATTTGGTACCAATGGGCAAATCTGTTCTGTGAAAATTCCATTTCTCAACAATAGTGGTTCTCAAACTTCAGTGTGTATAAAATAACTTGGGGGAATTTTGTTAAAAATGCATATTCTCCAGGCTTCACTCCCAAGATACAACTCTAATAGGTCTGGTATGGGGCCCAGGAATCTGCATTCAACAAGTGCCCTGGGGGTTCTGATCCAGGTGGTCCTCAGACCACAGAGATAAGGGCAGGTGGATTTCTCTTTCCTCCAACCACTGGGTGAATATAAACCTGATGCAAATTATTTTTTCTTAATTTATTTTGTGGTAATGATCTGAACAAACTAGCATAAATAAGTCTCTAATATAAAACTGATATCTTCTACTCAGATCAATCCTGTCTTTCCTGCAATGATACAAGTTACTCACCATGTCATAAATGAAGTTTGTTACCCAATAGCATGTCACACCGATGCCTGAAATATGCTGCAACTGCTTGGCTTTGGTCTGATGCTCCCTTACAACATAGGTGACAAAGCTGGCAGTGGTGACAGAGTAGCCCATCAGGATGGAGAGTGCCACTAAAATATCGATTAAGCTGCTCATTCTATAGTGAGCAATAGGAAGAAGAAAGCACAGATAAGTTTTTGGAACTCTCTTTCTCTCAGAAAGATTCTTGACTAAAACCATCAACAAAACAGTGTAAGAGTTGGCTGTGACACAAATAAGTCTTCTTGCAAGACGGCCAGATAATACCTTCTACATGACTCAGCTGTGACCCTGGAATAAACGTAGCTCTAGTGCATCTGAATTGCTTAGAGATATTTGATAGAAAACTTCAGTCTCCATGGGTTACAGGGTGTATCAAGGGATATATAGTTCTTGAGCATAGAAATAGTACTTAAACACTATGCGGGGAAATTGAAATGATGAAGCACTTACACACTTGACTTATAAAAGCAGCAGATTCCGTGAATCTACAGTCAACAAGCTCTACTTGGCAACCTCACTGTACTCTCTTTCAGAAACTTCCTTTTATCCCAGTCAATGACATATACCAGCTTTTCTAGATTGACATGCATTAAGATACAACTGCGATTTCCATTTATAGTGCTTTATGTAGAGGCTCAACTATGCCAAAGAGAAAGTAGTCATGCCAGATAGGTCTACTTACGTGGCTTGCTCTTGGTCTTGCACTCCTGGGTAAGGATGACTATACATGATGATGCCTTAAAGAAGAGACCATTTATTCCATTAGGAAGTATTTAGTTCATCAAAAATACCAATTTTTAGATGAATAATACACAATACTTTCCTCCTTATGCTATGATCAAAAGAATTTTACCTTGGGGATACTCTTTTAAAGGAAAATGATTTTCTTCCAATCTCATCAATGCCATACAATTGGTGACACCCATTTAGAAAGAAAAACGAAGTTTTCCACATTATGGGTAGAATTTTGAGGGAAGGGGCAAGAATTTACATTTTTTATATGGCATTTTTTCTATTATATTTAAGTAATTGTTCTCAACTCTCTCCTCTTTATCTGCTGTACTTCAGAAATATACAGCATTTAAAGAAGCAACTCAAAAGGAGACCGATTATAAGAGGATCTCCTAAAGAATGCACATTGACCACTCCATCCTTTTTTATTGTGTGATTGGCTGTGCTAGAGAAATATTGTCCCTGAGAGGATCTGTCTTTCTCCTTTACTATTTCTAAGACACTTATTATTCTAGAATTCTACCACAGTAGAGCTTGGAGCTTCAGCCACTCCCAAGAGATCTTCATTGAGACATAAAGATCCCAGAGGATTCAGAGAAACCGGTTGATTCCAGAAAAGTAGTCACTTAATCCAGTACAGTCCTGCATTATTGGGGTCTCCCAGAACTGCTTATACTTTTTGAGTTAGAAGCAAGGTTTTTTCACCCCCTCCTTCCTTAGAGGACTTTGGTTAGCTAGAATCAAAATGGGCTGGCAACAGTTTCTCAAACACACACAGTGTAAAGGCAAAGTCTATACTGTCTGAATAACTTTGGAAAAGAATGGTAGGGGATGAAAGGAAGATATCCCTTAAATACTTATTGCTACAGAGTCATTAGCTGAGGGAGAACTTTCTCACTTACTGCTCATACAATATATGTTCATTATAGTTAGATATTAAGTTCCTTTCACCATACCCAAATATTATAGAATTATCTAAAGTTATATTCTCCCCGTTAACTCAAATTTATAATTTTTATTAAGTAGAATGTGACATGTTTTGAAGTTGAATTCTGCAATTGTTTTATGCTAAAAAAATAAATATGTAGTTAAAGCAAAACAAAGAAACAAACAACAACGATAACCAGCTTGGCCTAGAATTTTAATCACATCTTTGAGGGAATAAACCTTTCTTATCTTTTTTGCTAATTAATGGGCTTTCTTGCTACCAAGATTCAATTTTCCCTAGGTCCCTATGTAAACCTTGCTGAGTTATAATATAGGCAGGGAGATATCATATTTTTACATTTCTGCTTTGTATTTTCAAAATACTCTATTTCACTAGAGGAATCTTTGCAAATTACATTTAGTCCACTGTGAAAAATGGTGCCGAAACAATTGTTTCATACATATCTTTAGCTGAAAGATCAAGTAAACGTATAAGAGTTAGAGATCTATATCAAAATCTCCTCTGTGGATCCTGAGTACGTGGTTTTGAGTACAGTGATTAGTCAATGAATGCTTCTTAAATCTAATTAAATCTCTAAATTTTAATTATTTTCCCCACGTATACATTTAAAATAACACATTTTATATCATCTCTACAGTTGTAAACGTAAATAAAATGTTTCCCATTGACCATTGTTACTAATGCAATAAAGGGTAAGAATAAACACTAAGGTGGAGGGAACTGTGTATCAGTTATTTTGAAAAAGAGCCTAGCTATATAACATTTGTTAGTAGAAACAAGCAAACATATATTCTTTGGGAAGAAATAACAGAATTTTCATGTTAAATTAACCATGAGAGGAAACCACATGAATATAATAGATATTGACATTGCAAAGGAAAGCTAATTAACAGATTTTTAAGTGTGTGAGAATTCAAAGAAAATCAATTTTACAGCAAAAGAAAAATTCCAGTTAATGTAGAATTCAACAAAGATGCCTTAAAACAGATAGTGCTGTAGGTGGAGGTAGCAAAATAGTTGAGGTGATTTTTAAAGACAATATTCAAATATGTGGTGACAGAAAGGAATCTAACTATGGGTGGTGAACACGCAATGCAATATATATATATGTCTTACTGTTGAATTGTATGCCTGAAACTTACTGGATTTCATTAACCAATGTCACTATAATAAAAATAAAAATTTAAAAAAATATTACTATGGCAGGCCCCATTATACATTATAAAACAATAAAAGCATTTAGGGTGCCATGGATTTCTTCTTCGAAAGAAGGGTGGAAAAGAGAGGGTGGAAACCTAACACTTTCATAAGTCTATATAAGAAAAGTGAATTAAAAATAGAAGGTACATTACTATCAATCTCTATATTACTCAAGATGAGCCTTATTTTTAAGTAAAATAAATAAATAAATAAATTTCCTTTTAGGGTCAATATATAGTTTACATTTTAGAATTCTTAATTCTTTACACTTTGTAATTAAAAATATGGTGGTAGGAGCTACAGCTAGCCTGCTGGAGCCCAGAATGATTCACATCGATTTGGTCTTAATAAAGAACTCTAATGGTAAATAAAATCCGAATACAGGTTTCAAAAGATGACCCTTCAAAAGTGACATTGGTCTCTTCTTCTCATCTATATACTTTTGATACATTTCCCCTAGTCATTTCTACAGCTTTTATATTTTCATTATTCGTTACAACAACAAATGTCTTTTGCTCTGAATAAGACATCCTATGAAAGTCAAGTGTTCGACAGTATTTGAAACCAAGTTATACTAGACCCATCTAGCTTTAGTCTCCATTTAACTTAATTTACTACTTTTGACTGTGCCCTTTATTGATGCTCTAGATCTAAGGACTATCTATAAATCTTGTTATTTTCTTTATGGTTCCTCCTGCTAGGAAAATGCCAGAGCAGTCGGGGGAAAAAAAATACCGTTTTCTCTGAAATGAAGACTCCAAAAGATTCTGTTTCTAGGATGAATATCTAACTCCACAGTTTACTGGTACAATCACCATGAACATCCAGCACACATTATTGTGCTCAACAGCAGGGAGATGAAAGAAAAGTGGGTCTCAGTATTTCCCGAAGATATGTTGTGTCTTTTTTCCCTATTTGTTAGGTTATTTGTTAGCCCATTTATCTGGCTGGATACTCAGTCTTGGCCAGCAAGTATGTTATTCAGTTGTTTTTCATCTTTAATATTTTTTTTTTTAGGATCAGTATGGGAAAATAATTTCAGCAAGTCTTAAGAAGATGAAATGGTCTAATTCTAATTGAATTAGAAAAAAAAAAAAGTCAGTCTTTTTCAAATTCCATTTTTAAAACTATGTGGAAGTTTCTTGAGAAATCCAGTTAAAACAGACTTGGCTGAATAAAGAGGAGTAATAGAAAAATGAAGTACAGAGTATTATAAAAATGAAGAGGCAAGATTCACAGATCTCGGTTCAGACCTGGGTTCAAATCCCACTTCTGAGCCCCAGAGAGCTAATAGTAGAGAACAATAATATTCATCTTGAAAGAGTACTTTTAAGGATTAGCAGTATTTCATAGAAAGCATGTGTCATATGCTCACTTAATGGTAAAACTTTTAGTCAAGTATAGAGCTTTTTAGTTTAAAAGTTTTGTCTTCATGTTTAGATTTGTGTACAATATTTACTGACATCATTTAAAATTTTTTTAGCCTATATGCAAATAAGTAGTTATAAAATGTTTTTCTATGGGATGTAACTACTAAGTATGAGAACAGAAATAAGCATGAAGTCAGCATTGCTATCCTGGATTGATAAATGAGGAAACTAAATTAACCTGAAGTTAAGGGAATTATTCCAAATGTTTCATCTGGCGTTAGACTTCCAAACTCCTTCTAAAGATCTGTGATTTAGGTACCATAAAATACCTGCCACTGGGAGAAAATGGGTTCTAACATACATTTTTATGTGGAGAGTAGCAAAAGTTGCAATACAAAAAGCTCTGTGTAAGTAACTTTACCATGTCGGGCAGCATCATATTTGGACATGTTAACTCGCAGAAGGAAATTATTCAAACTGTTGAGGTAGGCTGGAAGAGAGTGATATCCTTCTGGATCATACCATACCTGTTCAATTGCAAAAGAAGGCGAGATCAGAATTGTTGAAAGAAATTAGGCTGCCTTTACATGTGACAGCCTACAGATTTATATTTAAAATAATAAGAGTACCAATTTCCCAAATAATAAAATAAGAGCACCAATTTCCCAATAACTTGACCCTCCATGTCCTTCCAAATCACAATTCTCTCTCTTTCTCTCCCCTAAACAATATGGTTGAGTTTTGCCTACTCTCAGTTTATAGTAAATTCAATTATAGTTATGCATTCTTTTTTTGTCTTTTCTTTAGCTTATTAACAATGTTTGGGAGATTTAGCCTATGTGTTATATATAACTGAGTTAATTCATTTCCATTGCTGAAAGGACTATCAAATGAATATGTAACCATTTATGTTTTTATTCTACTGTATATGGGCAATTTGGGTTGTATTTTTGGCTAATATGAAAAATACTACCATGTACATTTTTGTATATCTATCCTCATACTTATGCGTACACATTTCCCTGGGGTATGTATTATGCCAAACTGTTCTTCAAATTGATTGTACCTATGTTTTGCTTTTACCTCATAAAAATGCTTGAACATCTCAAGTTCACATTCTCAATTATATGACATCCCAGAAGAAAGTTCATAATTTACCTTGGCAAGTGTTCTATTGGCAGGAACTGAGGTTACATCAAAACGGAGGTCATTAGTCAAAGGCAGCCCAAAACTCCAACCTCCATATCTATATAAAATAATAAAATTTATATTTGTTTTAATGGAGAAAATAGTATAAATAGATCTAAAATGTCTAAATAAAGCTCTTTTTTTCCTTCCATTAGGAACATATTTACAGTATGAAGTAAATACTATCTGACAAACATTTTATTTTTATTGATTTATTTGATTACATTCTAGCCTAAAATGTACATTATAACTAGGAGAAAAAAGTTCTAAACAATAGCAAATGTGGAATAATCATTCTGAAAATAAGTGACACACAAGCCAACCAATTCCTCTTTATTGTAAGCTACTGTTAACTGGATTTGTACCATCTCAAAAATCTTACAATTTTTATGCTTAAATACCCTCTTTTAGGTAACTTAATACTAAAGTGATAAAACACCAGTTCTTATCTTTTTGCAAATGGCCCCATTTCTTCTATACTGCAAACTTTTTCCCTTAGTTTTTCCCCTGGTGTTACACTTTATTCTCTTTGGATATTTAAAGATGATTTGTGTCTATATAAAACTACCTGTCACTTCATGGCCCCTTAAAAATAAAAAGTGGATTTTAAATATCCAAGTAGCAATTTAAAGGATAAATTAGTTTCAATGTCCCAAATTAGGGTTGGGTTAAATCAATGATGATGCAGTCACACTAGTATACTCTTCTTGTGGCTGTCATTCTAAATGTGATGCCACAGAGCTATATTTTTGACATGCAAAGAACATTATAGTATATCATTCATTTTTTAAAGTAAACTTTAGAACAGTTTATTTTTAATAAACCTCATTTTGTTGAAAATATTTACATGTATCTCTGACTAGAAAACTTCTAGAAGAATACACAAAATGATTATATCTGAGTAGAGAGAGATTATTTTTTCTTCTTTTTGCTTATCTGCAGTTTGTAAACATTTTACAGTAAACATTAGTCCTTTATGTACATTGAAAAATAAAAGAGGGAAAAGATGGAAGAAATGAGAAAACAATAGCTTATTGAAAGCTTGTCACCTCCCCCCAGCTTTATTGAGGTATAATTGACAAATAAAAATTGTATATATTCAAGGTGTACCACTTGATCTTTTGATATATGTATACATTGTAAAATAATTACCACAATCAGGCTAATTAGAATATCCATTATCTCACATGGTTATCAGTTTCTTTGTTTGTGTGTGTGTATGTGTATGTGCTAAGAACTCTTAAGACCTATTCCCTTAGCAAATCTCAAGTATATGATACAGTATTGTTAACTATAGCCACATTGCTGTTGAATAGATCTCCAGAATCTATTCATCTTGCATAACGGAAACTTTGTACTCTTGACCAACATCTCTCTATTTTCCCCTCCCCCTCAGACTCTGGCAACCACTATTCTATTCTGTGCTTCAATGAGTTTGACTAATTTAGATTCCACTTATAAGTGAAATCTTGCAGTATGTGTCTTTCTGTGTCTGGCTTATTTCACTTAGTGTAGTATCCTCTAGGTCCATCCATGTTGTTGCAAATTCGAGCCTACCAACCTTACATCCATGGCAAAAGCTTAAGTGGCTTAGGTACAAGCCCATGGCCTTGCTACACATGGACACATTTTATCCACATGCAGATATACTCTAAGTTTTGAGATATTTATATTGGAACTAAGGCCACTTGTCACCAAAAGCAACACCTTAAAATTCTCCAAGTTGGAATAATCCAGTCAATAACTTCTCTTTTGTTTCAAGCAAAAAAGTACAAATTTCACAATACATTTTTGAGGTCTGAAAAAAATCGATGCTTTTCAATTTGCTTAAATAAATCTTAATTTAGAGTCATTACTTAAATTTTAACACACAAGGCTATTTAGATAAAACAGAATTTAACAATGTAAATAATCAGTAGAAATGCGCACCTATTGTCTCAAGTTCAAAAGGCAATTACCATCAAATTAGAAAGCAAGAGATGCCAAGTTAAATATGCTATAAACAAAGTAGTTTTACCTTTTTTGCATAAACTCATTAGCAGTTGATATAAGATAATTTTCCAAGCGGAGCCCAGTGAGGTTATAAATTACTTGGGAAGAATAAGTTCTTCTATGAGGTGGAGAATAGTTAAATTTAGGACATTCCTGAAAAACAAAGTTAAAAATTAAGTTCTTTCTGGCTGAAACTGTATAAATCGAATGATAGATAACATTGAGGAGCTTCGGTCTCATCATTTGTCTATTACTGCAACTGGTGGAGGGTGACATCTGTACTTTGACTTTAAAGAGCTTTGAAAAGAAAGGCATCTTGCTTATGCCAAGAAATTAGAACAAATATTACATAGAGAGAGTGTATATATTTGTTTGGACCTCACTCGAAGCCAAAAAGAACACAGATTAACTATTGTGAGATTTTTCTTTAACTGTACTGACATGCTTGATGTGTTTGGAGAATAACATTAAACATTAAGATGACTCAAAATTCTCTCAGTGATTCACAGGAAAGAAAAAAAAAATTGTCGCAAATTGAAAAGATCACATTAACAGACTTCAGTTCTCAGGGATTGATAGCAGTGGATGAAAATTTTGTTTTATATTAGCTTTAGGGTATCAAACTTCGGTGTCCAAGCTCAATTTTACATATATCTAAACCTAAATCTACTTTAATTTTATCTAAATCTAAATCTAATCTTTATATACGTTAAAATTATTCCAAAATAAAAAGTTTATGTATATGTTGCAAAGTCGCATGTGTATGTATGTATATATATTGCAAAGATGCTAACAAGAATCCCTGGATACCTTTCACCCAGCTTTCTCCATTATTAGCATCTTACTTTATCATCATACATTTGTCAGAATGAAGCCCATTGGTACATTATTATTAACCAATCTCAGAGCTTGGTTTTAACCAATTATTTTTATCCTTGTAGTTTTTTACACTTCCTAGCCACTTATTTTTCACTGAAGCTTTCCATGCTTCACAGCTACAAAGTTTAGTTTGGGAAAGCCTGGCATTTTTCCAATGTTTCCTTACATCTTTTTACACGATGTCCCACAGCCTGAGGCTTGGATCACACGTGTGTACCAAGAGCATAAAATTGCATCTGCTCTAAAAAGTGAATGCTGAATTTCAGCTTACCTCAAGTTGTATCAACTTGAAGATCACATTCTAGAATGCCACCGGTTTCACAAATAGAAAGATACTCCTATGTAGGCAGTATAATTTTTAGCTTTAATTTTTCATTGAATTATACACACAGAAAAGCACATTTATTATGAGTATGCTGCTTGATGGATTTTGACAAACTGAGCCCATGTAATGAGCAATTGGATCAGGAACAGGATCAATGCAAGGATGCCAGAAGCCCTCTCAGCAGACTCTCGTCCAATCACTATATAAATATGATTCTATATAAATAGAATTCTATTTATATAGAATCATATTATATGTACTCTCTTGTATTTGGTGTTTTTCATGCATCATTTGTTTGTGAGAATCTTCCAATATGATGCATATAGTTGCAGATCAGTCACTCTCATTTGCTGTATACAGCAAATACATTTCCACTGTGGAAATATATTAGATTTGATTAATCTACTCTACTGTTGGTGGGAATTGGGGTGATTATTATGAATAGTGTTGTTATAAATATTCTAGTATATGTCTCTTGGTGAACCTATTCACATTTCTCACGGATATATAATAGGAATGGAATTGCTGACCCCAATCGGTATGTCTATCTTCAGCATTAGTAGACACTGTCAAACACTTTTAAAAATGTTTACACAAATTTAGATTCTCATCAGCAAAGCATTAGGTTGAAAATTTTGATCTACTTTGTTTTTAATTAAAAAAAATGTATCGATTCTAATTTTTTTAAAAAACTAAATTATTTGGCTTTTACTGTGAACTAAACAAAATACATAAAGAATTTCAAAAATTAACTAGATTAGATGATGGATTAAAATACTCTTTGAGTTTTGGGTAAAACTAATATTTAAATATTCAAGGATTCCAAAGGATCTCAGTTTTTATTGTTAGTAACTTCCTTGCATGAAAACATAGAAATAGGTTGTATTTACTGAAAACATTTTCATTCTAAAATATTATATCAAGATAGTTTAGAGCACAATCATATTTTCATTCTAAAATATTATATCAAGACAGTTTAGGGCACAAAATACTGCTAGATTCCTCCCCATGTAGAAGTAAGTTGACAACATAGTGACTCTAAGAAACTAATAGTGACCTCTTTCCTTTAAGTATCTTTAATTTCCCCAGTGAATTTGGTTTCCTTAAAAGTTTATTGAATGTATAAGCTTAGAAAACTAAGCTGTATATCTATAGAATACAGACAGGGTAAGTGATAATTGGACAATCTTTTCTGTGTCTTCCAGGACATGATTTTTTCACATCCTGGAGGTTGTGCATAGAGACACCTGCAGTTCTCTTCTGGATGCACACATTACTGGCTTCCTAGCCGACCACTACAGTACCACTGTGTTTTCAGATATAATATGTACGATGGCATTTTGTTGTATGAAACATAGAGCTTTCTGGTTAGAACTGAACTGAAACCAAAAATTCATCTTTAGTTAGTTTGCACAAAGAGTGCCATAGAATTACCTACCTTTGGAAATTTGTCCTGAGATGGATTTACAACAGTGACCTGAAGTTCAAAGCAAATATTTTTGAGCTGCCCAGGTCTATATCTCTGAGCTACTGGCTTCCGTAAAATAAAATTATGCTGACTTTTTGGTAACCTAGGTAGATCTTTCAAGTTTTGATATTTATTCCTTTCTTTTTTCTACTTCACTGAAACTGAATTCATCCTACCTGGACATTTTCTGAGCAGGAGCAAACACCAAAATTAGTGATACGTTCTCCACTGGTGTTCCATTTTCCCAGACTGTTTTCCTTTAAACAACTTCTGCAAATAAAACGACATCGAAGTGAGGTATGTGTGCATACTCATGTTTATGTACAAGTGTAGAAGTGAATATTTGGTTTTAAATTCAGGTGTATATTCCTAGATACAATTTACTGATTTTTTTATAACTTAAATATACATTGCATGACCATTTTCAAGTGATCTGACATGTTATGGGGAGTTGAGGGAGATCACTTAGTGATTAAACAGTGTTAATTCCAATCCTCATGGAATTGTCTTAATACAGCAAGATAGGGCTTTTTGACCCCTTTCTTCTCTTTGTTCTTTTTATTCTCTCCTTTGATAGGAAAGTTATACTTTAGCAAAATGATGCACTAATGTCAAATTTACATGTGTTATGTACTATCTTAGAAGTATGAATAAGCAACACTATTTGGTGTAAAAACACGGGAATTGGAGTCAAGATCTCGGTCTCAGCTTTACTACATTACTTCATACCTACATTTTATACAAGAATCTTAGCTCCTATGAGCCTCATTTTCTTCATCTTAAAAATGGGATTAATAATTCTCAGGGTTGTTGTGATTGTTAAATGAAAATATGGATGCAAAAGAAGTTTACAAGTTATAAAGCATCTAATTTTTTTTATTACAGTATATTATTACTAAATGAGATAGAGAAAATCTGTTAAACACAGATTTCTATCAGGGTACTAGTTTCCTCCAGCCAAATAACACACATCCACTCATCCACACACCCTCACACACATCCACACACATGCATACACATGCACAGACACAGAGTGGAATGTTGTAAAAATATAAAAAGAACAAGAACCACTTACTGATCACTAATGTTCAGACACATGTTGTCGATGCCAGGGAACGTCCACATTGCTGAGACCAGTGCTTTTGTGCTTGGGTTAGAATTTCTGTAACATTAAAGGATAGAAACAAGTTCTTGATTCCTCCATAAGTCTCCTACATTAAACTCACCCTCATGAATAATTTGAAGACATGAAATATGCTCTCTACGGGACTGTTTACTTAAGAATCTAAGAAAGAATCCCAGGAGAACAAGGTGTCACAGAAAAAAATAAGCTCCCTTCTGTGTTCGGCTACCTCGTTAGTCTCCTGATTGTCACACGCTTTTCGTAATCACCTATTTTGTATATAAAATTATATTATACAGAATTCTGACATTATTATTCAATATTTTTGAGACCGATAAAAATTTATTTGCTATATATTTGGCATATAACCTGGTTTTCATGAGTAAAGTCTAGTCATTAAAAATAAAGATCTACTATAACTTTATTTTTAGACAAACACAAAAAGCTCTTAAAAATTATTTGTTAGCGATAAAAGTGTCATGTCATAATACATCAAACTGTCTATTCTTTTGGCAGAATTAAATCCTACGGCTCCTAAGTTTTTATTCTTCAGGATTTCACCCCATTTATCTAGGCACAACTGCACCTCTGGAAACACTGTGGAAAGTTTTCGATAAAGGAAGAGAACTTACGCATAGAAGGCTGTCTGTTCAGAGGTTCCATAAAGAGATGGGGAGATCTGGATCTCTGGATAACTGTTGCTGGAATTTCTCAGTGTGCCGAGGCCCATGGCAGTGGTTACAAAGATGATGGGGAGGATAACCTGAGCAATGAAACCTTTCCAGTTCCTGCGGGTATGGTGGAACCGCTTAATGAGTATAGCCATTATCTTCTTCAGTAACAGTCCCAAACCATCCAATCTCTCTCCTCTTGTCAGGATTTTGTCTGATTAAGAAAAAAAAAAAAAAGATTAGATATGGTTCTGGGAAGTTCTGATAAATCAAGTAAAAAAAGTAACATTGAATTTATGGATAGATGGTATAATGTGATATGGTGAGGAAAGCTTATGTTTTAAATATTTGGATTTTAGATTCGGCACTTTGTTTACCTGCTTTGGGCCTGAGCCTCTTCATCTCATAGAGCTATATGTAAATGTGCTTTGAAAATTATAAATCACAGAAAAATATCATTAGTCATATACATAGTCATTTTATATGTCAAAGTGAGATATTTAGAATTTTATAAATGAATACTTTCCCCAATCTTCAGGCTCAATGAGGTCTCACTGTATATTATTAATACTGAAGAGATAGCATCTACTGGCAGATCGAATTCAAATAAGATAAATGGAAACCAAAACATTAACCTAGTTGAAGAACTCATTTCTTCTACTTTGAGTAAATTAGTGGTCATGATTCTAATCGGCTCTCATTCCAATGTAAGGTCCAACGAATTCACCTTATACACGAGGAAAGGAAAATGCTCTCCTTCGAATATAATTCTAGTTCAAAACACTTATTCATTGCGTTCTCTTTAGAAATTTGCACTAATTATATGGTACTTCAAAACTCCATTTTTACTATTATAGTCGCAAAAAAGAAATCAGTGGGGAAAATGTCTATTCTTCTCCCCTGTGAAATGTTCTTCAGGAGCTGAGAAAAATTCCACAGCTTATAAGAGTAAGGGCAGTGTGGAGGCCATGAACTTGCTTCCTCGACAATGCTCTTGATCATTTCAGCAGCCTCCTCTGACAAACGGATTCCTATGTGACACCCTCTCCTAAGACCTGCCTCCAAGCTCTCTTTTACATGTGATAAGATGACAGTATTCGTCAACTCTGTGGCAATTTTTAATTCTTCATCACAAATTAAGCAGCACAAAAATCACGATCTTCATTTAGCTGATAAGGAAAAATACAAAGCTGCTTAATTTAAAATGAACTCCAATTAAACAGAGTGAACAAGTTTAAATGCAAACTCATATCTCTGCAAAGGGGAATTGTAGAAGGAGCTGAATATTTTAAGTTAATTAGTATGCTTTTCTGTTTCTTGAGAAATTACATGTGGATGACTTACAGGTGTATCAAATGGAGCAAATGTGCTTTCTAAAAGATAATGTCAATGAGAGGTACATTTTGACTGAAGAATAGTTTCAAATTATGAGACAAATGCAGAAGCAAATTCATAACATTTACTTGTTTAAGCAAATGACCACTTTCTAATCAAAGTCTTCAACTCCATGGACTCAACAATTATATTCCCCGAAAGATGATAAATGAGGAATATGGCAGAGGACAAATGAGTCTCCTAAGTTCCAGAATTATACAAACATCAGAGATTACCTTTTCTGAGTTTGAGAGCCAGGCAAAAGTCTAATTAAAAGTTCTGTTCCTAGAGATTTTTCTCATTTTAAACAAGCAAAATGACTACTCCATAATTTATACATCATTTTACAACATGCTTCCTTAAGTACATAGCAGTTTCAAAGGAATAAATTAATTGTCAGAAAGAGAATAACAGGATAAAAGTTATTTTCAAAAGAGCTCAATTCTTCAGTTGTATCAAGAAACACAACTTTTCAAACATATATTATGTGAAGAATTGGGGAAGGGGGAACTTATTATTATAGATTCATAGCCATTGAGATCCACTTCATCAATTCAGAGACCACCCTCCAAAAGCATTTTCTCAGAGCCTGAATTTTCTCAGCACCTGCATCGTTGTTGAGATGTGCTTTCCAGTGAGGCCCCCTAAAGAGTGATGACTATGTTTTCACTTTTTTTCTGACTATTACCTACACTTAAACATGTTTAATAACAGCAAGCGAACTATCTACAGTATAACTTCTGTTGGACAGCACCAATCACAAGAAGGATTTTAATTTGTTGACCACAAATCTGAGATTACAGTAAATTACGTCTTGAAAATGACTTCTGGTGGGTAGAGAAATACTCATCACCTCTCTCACAAGAAAGTTCTTCCACATTCCTCAAAATGTTTTTGAAATAGGGAATTCATTTGGTTTAACAAATATTTTATATGTTATAAAAGGAAAGCTTATATTTCTTTAGTCTTTTTGAATATAAAAAGAAAATTTAAAGTTTATTTTTTTTTTTAAATCAAAATCTGTAATTTTCTCATTTCTGTCATTTATTGGAATGAAGCAAAATATGTGATTAGTTTTATACCATCTCTATCTGTGAAATTGCTGCTATTCACAGATAAATCGTCAGGAGTTGAGATGCCATTGGCACTGGAATTTCCAATCTTCTTTTGTGTTAAGTGCTCAAGACTCATATCATTATTTTTGTGTGATTCTTTAGTCAAGTTCAGAAAGACCTATAAAGAAAAGACAGAACATTTCATTAACATAAAACATGCATACCTTTTCTAGTATCTAGGCTCAGCTTAGATTTAGAATTTTTATCACGTTTATTGAGACAAATAAGTGTGACTTTAAGTGGCTATTTTTGAGAAGGACTTTAAGTGAACATTTTTGTTGGTGAAAGACAGATGTTCTCTAATTGGAGCCACATGTTTATTCTCAGAAGTCAGTCTACGTAAGAATGATATTAAGACAATTTTAAGATTTTCTGATTTTGTGAAATGCTTATATAAAAATACCGTATATATCTATTCTAAGGGAGCAGCAAGTTAGATCAGCTTTAAGAGAAAGGAAATGTCCAGGTATACCTCTTCCACAGTGGTATCTGAAATGCCATAGCATCCAATGTTGAGGTCACCCATGCCATGGTCCAGCGCCCTTAGGAGGGACAGATAGGCCCCTGAGACTTTGGTGCTAAACGGAGGAAGCACGTAAACAAGCTCCCCGCCGATGTCCTCCTTGAGGCCGGCTTCAGGGAGATGTGATTGGATCATTGCTGTCACAGCCATCGTGTCGCACGTTGTACTTGCATTTAGATTTGGACTCTAGGGATAAAAACAGAAGTTAAATACACCCTTGTCTTTACACTGTGGTGCCCAAGGCTCCTAATCACAGGGTGGCGAATTCTTTTGGGCCACCCATCCCTCACACACACATCACTCCTCCCGTGGCTTCCTTTCCCACCTGGGGTCCCTCCAGCTGTCTACAAATCACTATTCTACTGGCTTCATTCTCCCGCCTCGCGCCGTCCCCTCTGCACCCTCACTGCCCACTATTCTCCAACAACCAGACTCTTTTCTGTGTTAGAGGGCTTCAGGCTCAGACACGACTCCTCCTCAGGCCCTTTGCAATTGTTTCTTTGCCCCCAGATAGTCACGTGGCTCATTCTCTTTCCAGCTCCAACTCTTGGTTCAATCTTCTCAGAGATCCATTCTCTTCCAATCCTATTTAAAATGGCACCACTCGGCATGCTCTATTTCCTTTCCTCTGCTTTATTTATATCTATAACATTTATACCTATAGCTGCTAATATACTAAATAATATGCTTATTAATTGTATCATCTGAATTCCCCACACACCATCAGAATATAAACTCCACGAGGGCAGAGATTTAAATATCATCAGCTCACTGCAGTATCCCCAGGGCCTAGAAAAGTGTCTTGGGCACATGATGAGGCATAATACACACTTAGTACAAAAATTTTGAATGGAGTAATGAATATAACAATAAACAACTTTTTATATTTTGGAAGTCACATCAGGATAATTAGACAGAAAATAAATGACAGTTGTCAAAACATGACTAACTGTATATACGTCTTATACAGTTTAGTAAGTCATATGCTATTTTAGGTGGTATAGAGATCTTTAATCAGCATTCTTGTTCCTCTCTCAAAGATGTAAACGAAAAGCACTGTGGGTCTGTCTGAGTAAGTCTCCACATTGCCACTTGAGGAGTACCAATCAGAAAGTGAATATATGAAACCATAGTTTCTTTATTTGCTTTTGATAGAGCAGAAAATCAAACATTAGCCTTATGGGCTGAAAAGCTAGGGAAACTAAAAGGCTGCTCTTCCATCAGCAACCTGAGAATATAAATTATGTTTTTTACCTTGCACATTGATTCTCAATGTGTGTTCCCAAACCAGCAGCAGCAGGTTTAATCAGAAAGTGAATATATGAAACCATAGTTTCTTTATTTGCTTTTGATAGAGCAGAAAATCAAACATTAGCCTTACGGGCTGAAAAGCTAGGGAAACTAAAAGGCTGCTCTTCCATCAGCAACCTGAGAATATAAATTATGTTTTTTACCTTGCACATTGATTCTCAATGTGTGTTCCCAAACCAGCAGCAGCAGTGTCATGCGGGACCTCTTTATAAATGTAATGCATTCTGGAGCCCTACTCCAGACTTGTGGAATCAGAGACTCTTGGGGTGGGGCTGGAAGTCTGGGTTTACCAAGACTTCCAGGTGTTCTGATGCATGCTCAAGTTTGAAAAACATGACTCTAACATATTTGTAGTGACATTTAGCAATAAATAAAGTGGAGAGATTCTGCTTCTGTTTCATACAAAATTAACTTATGACCCCATAATAAGGTATACTTTCTCTCCTACAAACCTTTTTCTTGGTGAGCGTGAGGTGATACCCATCCCCAAATGCTTCCTTGAGGTAAAATGGGGACCCGCAGCAGCGCAGCCCGCCCTGTTCCAAAAAGGCGATGCGGTCACTCAGCACTTCGGCCTCGTCCAAGTGGTGTGTTGACAGAATGATTGTCCTGGCTTGAAAATACAGAGAACAACCAAGAATGAAAAATGAAAATACTGTTCCCGAGATATATATATCTATAGACAGGGTTAACACAAGTAAATCCTGTGATTTGTGAGAAGATTCACGTTTTATGAGCTAACAGAAAAACTGACCAGAAAGAGCTTCCAAAAAGATCAAAGAGAAATTCAGACAAAATGTTCCTAAATATTTCGGGGTCTCCCTCTCACCCTCCCTCTATCCCCCCTCTTCTTTTCATCACTATGAAAAAGCAGTAATTTTAAAGGCTTTTTGAATATTTCTCTTTGATTAATCCACTCCACTCTGATTACTCTTTGCTTCACATCCTGTTAGCACTTATTTAGTCTGTTTTCAGTTTATTTTCATTTGTGTATGTTTGGTATCTCTAATTAGATTCTAAACTCCTCTAGGCAAAATTTGGAACTTCTATTGGATTTGCATGCTCTCAAAAAGTCCAGTTAAGTGTTCAACTCACAGTGGGTACTACATCGATATTAATTGACCCAGAAATTTAGATGGGAGAAAAGAAGACTTGGGAAAGGGAAGAGCCTATCTGAGATCTTCAATGGAGATAATAAACGAGGAAGGCAGATCATAAACAGAAAGGGCTTCAAGTTGTTCGTGTGTGTCTCAGAGGGCAAAATTCTGCCTGCTGGAGAGAGAAGTTATAAAAAGGTATTCATACCAGTTTTGTTCTTGGATATAACATCCCATATACTTCGGCGGGAACATGGATCAACTCCAGTGGATGGTTCATCCAAAATGACCACCCTTGATCCACCAATGAGAGCTATGGATATGGATAATTTCCTCTTCATTCCTCCTGACAATGTTCCAACTCTCTTGTGACGATGGCTATATAGTCCAGTATCTTTTAAAGTCCTTCAAAAATAATGTATGGTAGTTATTTTTTTACAGATAGAACATTTGAATATTGGAAAAAATACAATAAGTACCCTAAATGATAGATATGCAGAAGCAACCATTATATGCTCAGCAAGGTGCAATAAACTATTGAAAATTCATGACATAATTTTCTATTATTTATCATCTAGTTGGAGATACAAAATTAATGTTCAGGAACAACACAGGGAAATATATGGCTCATTATTTTATTCATTCATTTGACAAATATTTTAGAATGTCTTCTGTGTTTTAGGTGCCGGGGGAAAAGAAGCAAGCAGATAATATTCCTACCCATAAAGAGATTATTATCATGTGAGGGTGTATCAGGAGGGATGTAGAGAAAATTCAGTTGATATGTATCAACTGAATTCCCAAGTAAGTTTATAATATGCCAGGTGGTGATAAGTACAATAAAAAATAAAGCAACGTACATGAGATAAGTAGTGCCTGGGGCATAATATTTTAGGCATTTATTTTATAAATGGTGGTCTCCTCAAAGGTGACATTTCATCAGAGACCAGGAAAGTGGAGAAGTCAAATGGTTCTTTGGGGAAGGCTGCTCTACGTAGAGGGAACAATAAGTGAGAAGTGCTGAGGCTGGAGCATAATCAAGTGTGCAACTGGGCAGGTGAATGTGGGGAGAGTAGAAAGAAATGAAACAGAAGTGAGACTGGGGGCGGGTCAGGTAGGGCCTCATAGGCTTGGATAAGGACTTTACTAAATTCACACTGAGTGTAGTGAGAAGCCATTAGAGGGTTTTGCCCTCGGGATGGAATGGTCTGATCTGCAGTTTAAAAAGTCACTCTGGCTGCTCTTTGAAGAATAGGTTGTATAAGGGAGAACAGAAGCGAGAGTCCCATTGGAAGGCTTGGACAAGAAGAATAACCAGTGAAATTAGGAAAAGAGGATTGGAGGCAATCTGGAAGCCAGAGTTAAAGAGAGTTTGTACAGTTCCTGTATAACTGGCCAGTGAGGACAATGACATTAAATGTATTCAATTCCAGAGAAGTAGAAAAACTAAAAATCAATTGGTCTGTGAGAAAATGTTTTCCATTGGTATTATTACCATAGCTCGAACTTCTCTTTGAGAGGAGTTACCAATGCATGTTCTCATTCCTGTCGTAACTGACCTTTTCACTTCCTCATGCAGCTGCTTTTTAGTCCACTGAGGTACTTTGATGGAGCCATACAAGAGAAGGTGTTCTTTGGTTGTGAGGTAGCTAAACAGGACGTCATGTTGCATGCAGACCCCCATGTTCTTCCGTACAGTGTGTAGGTCTGTTTTGATATCTTTTCCATAAACAAAGATGGTACCTGCTGAGGCCCCAAACAGCCCAGTCAACATGGAACTGGAATAAATGATAAAGTAGGTATGAACCGAGTATTGAAGCTAGATTTTAGAATTAACTATATCTCAGGTGTTAGCAAAAAAAAAAAAGTTAAAAGTCTGTCTCCTCAGGCAAGGTCAGACTATGAAGTAAAATGGTATTAAAAGAGAATAAAAAATAAAAATTACTTTTAAGCTTTTAATAATTTAGAGTGTTGCATAAACACTACATGATGAAGATGATAGTGGTGGTGGTAATAACAACAGAAACGATCGGGCTTTTTAACTGCCAGTACACTCTCTTCTTCAGCAAATTCATGCTCTTCTTTGGCATCAGATAGTTTCTACGGACTGTTAAGTCTCAAATTTACATCACTAGCCCAGATTTTATCACTCATTTCCAGGCTTGCTTTGTACATCCAACAGGCAATGCCACTTCTCCATGAAGTGTCTTACAGGGTTCTCAAAAGCAACATGTTTAAAACTAGGCTCATGATATTTGTACTCGAGCCTGTGCCCTCACGAATGTCGCCTCCTTCACCATCTGGTAAATCCATACAGTGGTTGCACAAGCCTCAAAAACAGTTGTTTTTGCATCCTCCTCCTAGTGTAGCCTCATAACTCCACCCACAACTTTCCATTTTCCATTGCCATTGTAGTGCAAGACAGCATCGCCACTAGCCTACTGCTGCTGTAGGCTTCTAACTCTACCTCCCCCACGCTCTTTGGTCATCTCCACTCTCTTTCTTCACACTGTGTCCAGAATATTCTTACCTAGATAATTTCTTCTCATCTCTCAGATGGTTAGCAAACTGGACAATTATTTGATATCTATTTTCTTTACTAAATCATAAACTATATGAGGTAAGGAAAAGGACCTGTTTTCTTAAGACTGCTTCGGTACCAAACTAGTGCCTTGCACATAATAGAGCTTCAAGGACAATTGTGGATTAAATAGGAAATCAATACAATTTGTAGTTCTTCCCAAAAACCTGCATTGAAATATAAATAACATTTCATTCTTTACATTAAAGGTTTATAGTCGGAAAAATAAAATGGGAACTTTCTCAGCTAAAATTCGACTCTTTAAAAGATTTCTCTAGCTCTTTTCTTCATTGGCCTATTAGAAATCTTGTCTTTTAAGCATTGTACTCTCACTAGAAAGCCAACTGTGAATTTAAACAGGTCATGTAAATGAGAGTGGCTACATGTTCACTCATTTCATAACTTTCCTTTGTCCCTTTTTATTTACCAAAAAAAATTAATTTGAATATGTTTTGGCATTTACTGAATTTACTCATGATGATACTAAATAGGATACCCAGCAACTGACACTTTTCTTAAATAAAGGTTGAGGCATCAAAAGTAACTTCCAGCTAAACTGCGTGGAGCATTGGAGATGAATCACAAAATCAATCGATCAATCAAAAAAATGTCACTTTAAAAATATTTGGACACAGGAAAGTGCTACTTAAATGAAGAGTGAAAAAGAATAGCTCATGTGTCGCTCCTGTCCTTTTTGATCTATATCTGAAAGCTGATGATTCTTTTCTTTATGAATCGAAGCAAGGGTTCCCCGTGATAGAGCAGAGTATTTAAAATCAAGTTGACATGGGCCAGGATAGAAATGAAAATAAGTCAGACAGACTAGGCATATGAGGTAGTATGGATTGGTGGGAACCAGGGATGAACCAGAAAGTAGATGCCCCTTTAAGACAAGCATCACAAAAGCCCAACCATTCTCCCAACCCAAGACTATGTACACAACATCACCCAATCTTCCTTTTATCTAAGAGATGCCAAGAATACTTCTTATTAGAAAACTCTCCTATTTTTAAATATAAGCACTGAATTAAAAATGTTTAAGAAGTACTAGGTGGACCAACACTAGGTGGAATAAATAAACCTAGTTGGTGGGCCTGATCTGGACTTTGCGCTCACATTTTGGGATCTCTGATTTAAACTCCATCCTACAGTGTGTAAAAGGTGAGGTATCTTAATGCACCTGGGAGACGTAATGACTACTTTTTATGAAAGAGGTGAGCAAACACTAAGTAATATGCTTCCGTGACATTAAGTGTTGAAAAGTAACGTACATAGTAGTAGTTTTCCCAGCTCCATTGGGCCCCAGCAACGAAGTAATATGCCCTTCATAAAAGTTCAGATTTAGGTTATCTACAGCAATTTTTGAGCCATAGATCTTTGTGACTCCATGCAGGGCAACCCCAACTGTGAGATCTTTAGGTTCAGGCTCAATGTTGGAAGAAAACATGTATTCAGGACCTGGAGAGAAATCAAGAGAATAAAGTTATAAGCTCACAAAGAAAAGAAATGAAATTAAGGTTAGACTTTTTCTATATAAAAATGCAACCCTCTAAGTAAAAAATAATTCCGGCAACAAATGATCTATTATCACCATCAGTCTCCTTATTTGGTTAAAAAATGAATGACAGGTTTATATGGCCTTTCTCTGTCAGAAAATTAGTTCAAGAATACAGTATCATTATAATGAAGTCTCCCTTATTCAACAGGTCTCAAATATTCGAAAAACAAGTATAGGGTTCGGTTCTCTAATTGGATAGGATGATACTTATGAAAAAAATGTCTGCAAGGTATACTTTTAGTGTCAAAACCAGCTTAGATCTGTAGTTTATAGAATTGTGTTCATTAATTATTTTCTACACCTCCTTCAGGCATCACAAAAAGACCAGACCACTTATGTGGGTCATTCATACTTTATAAAGATAACACTTCCTTCAGGCATCACAAAAGGACTGCTTATGTGGGTCATTCTTACTTTTAAAGATGACACTACTTATGCAATGTCAGTAAGACATGAGCTTTAAATTGTCCAGTATTGGTTTTGGGTTATGCTAAATTATCTATACTTGCTACTTGGTTGCTCCTTAGGACTTGTGACAGATGGCTGGAGTTAGGGGTGCAGATCGTGGCCAAAGAAAAACATTTTTCTCTGTGTGAATCTAAGTGGACCACAAAGGGACTTGCAATCTTGGACTAATTAGCACCATATGCTAACCAACTGAACTAATGAGCCCGGAAAAAAACCATAATTTAATTTTTATTAGAGTCCAAATACATATGCATAGACATATTCATCCATACGAAAAGGATATTTTTACCATTTAGAGAAATACAATTAAAATCACTAGTCAGATAAATTTTATATCACATCTCTCATAATAATGCACATTGTTGACCTACTTGTTTTACTGGCAGATGGGTTGGTATTCTGCATCATGATATTAGTAAACATAAGGCCATTGTTCTTCTCATGTTTCACCTCTGCACATCCAAATCGCTCCTTCCAATAGGAAGGTAGGATTGGAAAATACCATGGTGCTGCCATGCCATAAGTACCTACAATAAAAATGTGTTACAAAACATAACTATTGGTTGACTGTTAACATTAAGTATTGGAAGCTAAACAATAGAATACTATATATGATTCAGGAAGCAGCTTAATTTTTTTTGATACTATGTGACACTAAAAAGTGGTCTTCGGTTTTCAAAGTAAAGTAAAAAGGATAGCTTTTCTTTTGTTCTTTCCTTTATACACAGCTTCACTGGAGTAAGATTTACTCCTTGTAAGTATAGGGTTAAATGATTTTTAGTAAATTCATAAAGTTGTGCAACCATCACCACAATCCACATATCAGAACTTTTTTTATAACTTCAAAAAGTTCTCTCCTGTCCATTTACAGATATTAGATATTGCCTACTCCCACCCCAAATCCTAGGCGATCACTGATTTTATTTCTGTCTCTACATATTTGTCTTTAATAGAAATGTTATATAAATAGTACTCTTTTATTCTTATTTATAGCATCAGAAAAACATACAAATATAAATCAGGCTTAATGGAAAAACTACTAAGCACGTTAGACACAATGACCACTTGAGACTCAGGAGGTCGTTTTCCATTAGAATAGGGTAAATGCGCCTTAGAATCAGGAGACTTGGTTTTTGCCTTATACTCCCATTTGGAATAACTGGATTCCGCACATCTTAATTCACCCTATCTTTTAAAGAAATACCAGAGTAGGAATTCACTAGAGCATTATCTCATTACGGAAAATTGTGGCTAGTTTTGGGACTTCAGTATTTCTTTTTTTGGAGATTATATATGGTAAATCAAATAGTAGAAAATGTATATTAGCAGATTTATAATGGGAACAACCATAAAAAGCATGTATTTGTGGGAAGTAGGTTTGTACCTGGGAAAACATTCCTGGTGTACCAAGCAATAAGGAAATAAATGAAAGAGTCAGCTAGAATTAGACAGCACAGCCAGCCAAACGAGGTGGTATCATCCTGAACTGGGGAACTGTACATATTTTCCCACTGAAGACCTAAAAAAGTGAACACATAGATTTATTCTTGGGTGAGATGTATTACAGTTGTTAAAGATAAAATCCAATTCTAAAGAAAGTGAGCCTACCAATCCCCTGCTCCTCATATCGGGCAATGTACTGACTTGCATAACTGAATGCTGTCGGCGACAGCAGGCTCTGCGGAGAGAATAAACAGCAATGATAGTTTTTGTAGATATCATACATTTCACCCAGAGGGATCTTAATATATTTAAAACTTTGTAGATAAAACTATGTAGATAAAATCATATTAGAAATACAGGGGTCCCTTACCAAGCTCGCTATAACTCTGGAAGAAGAGAAGAGAGACTAGCAGAAAACAAAAGCAGGAAAATTATAATTTGGAAAAGATTTTTCAGAAATCTAAAATCTACATCTAAACTTATTAAGTGTTTCTCAGCAATTTATAAAATAGGCAATTACAAAGAAATATAATGTTAAGACCAAAATCAAATGAAATGTTAAGGCCCAAAAGATGTTTTTACTTCATAAATTGATTTCAGGTAATAGAAGTATTATGAGTAAATGTACTAAAATATCAATTGATTCAACAACTATTATAGCAACAAAATAAACATTTAAATTTTATTTACACCCAAAGTAGTCAATGTTGGAGGACAGTTATTTATTCTTTCTATTTTATTTATGGAAAGCAAAATTTTAATATGACTTAGTCAATGATAAAGCTTCTGCTTCTCATATTTCATAATCTTAATGCTTTCACTAAAATTCTTAAATTAATTTAGTCCTTTTGAATTAAAAGGCAGAAAAGAATTCAAAATCGATTATGTTCTGTCAGTGCATTTGTTTTTATGCTTGTAAGTTATATTATATGTCATGAAAACCATTAGAATTATTCATATATGAGAATAACTCCAGTAATAGAGGCTTTAAGACATTTAAGGAATTGACCAGAGAGAAGTCAGAATTCTTGATGCTCTTTAAAATGTGATATATTACATTTTAACTGCCACTTTCTTCAGGAACTATTAACAGCATCACATATTATGGTTTTAGAAACTATGGGGAAAATGTTTCCTTTTCATAGTCTTGTGCTTATATGGTATACAACGATGTAGAAAAAATGGACTATTATTAGGATGGTTAAGCTTATTTTGCAATCACTAAGCTTTTAAATTTAGATAAGTGTACTTTCAGTTTCAGAGTCTAAAAATAAAAAAAAAGGGTCATTTTTTCTCACACACTGGCCATTCTGTTGTGACAGGTGACTCACCATGAATACTTTTATTACATAGCTCAGCTCATCATCAACTGTAACCAGAACAATAAACGGGAAAAAGGCAATGATGTAGATGAGGCTTCCAATCAGGGCTGCAATGTTGGTGTTGTTAAAGAAGACACTGATGAGATAGCTCATAGCAATAACTGAGAAGCTGTAGTCCGAAAAATATAGGAACAAAATGAACCCGTTTGTCTTAGGAAGAATATTGCCCAACTTGAGTATAATGATGAGGATGATGATGGTAACCAGTAAAAATCCAACACTCTCTATAAGCCAGGCAAAAAAGTGACTGCAGGAGTTTACACCCATCATCTTCATGTACTGCAAAAAGGAAAAACTGTTAGCTGCTATTTGTTCATGCTTGCTATGTAAAATTAACATGACCATTTATTCCAGCTCATCTTAGATTGCATGCTCCCAGAATGCCCCAATTTAAAGAAATAATAAATGATTTATATGGTGAGGTCCTTTTATAATTTCTTTTTATAACTGGTAGCTGATGTCTCCAGATTAAATTAGTTTAGAGTAGATCATCAAAGTTTATGTTATACCCTGAAGAATTTTACAACATGAGTTTGACATTCACGCAGGCATGGATACTTCATTGGTAAAAAAAATCGTGGTTTATTTCAAATTCGATATAGGGCTTGAGATTAAAAAACCACATTTGTTTTTAAACTAAACAATCAGTATTTACATTCCTGGGAGAAACAGAACAGGCCTGATTCCTAAATATTTAAAACACAGAAACTTTGAAGTGTTACTTTCTGCCCTTTGCCACATCTTCCCCATCCTTGAAATCACTGGCAGTCTGGGTCATGTTTGTCATGTGTTTTCCAAAAGACATTCATATACTCAAAATTAACTCATGTATCTTAGATAACCTATATCTCTTTTTCAATTGATATTCCTTAATAACTCAGAGATACTCCTAGAGGCCAAGGCATTTCACCAAGGTAGAAAAACAGATCAGCATGACTTGTTTGTACATTAACTTTAAAGGACTCTGAAAGATATAAAGTTCCCTGGGTCTTAGTTGTCTTGAATTTGGTGATATGTGACATTTGGGGGGAACCTGTGTATCCTGGTTTCTATTTTTAACAATTCATGGTTCATATTAAGCTTATGAATCTAATATTTTATTTAAAAAAGCAAAAGAAATACTCTACTAACTTTATAATCCTCCCCTTTTTAACCTAACTTGGCTAGGAAAAAAATAGGAAAAGTGCTAGGTTTTTTGCTCTGCAAGCAAAAGAGTGAATTTTACTTTCTGCCTTTGCAATATCACATTTTGCTAACTCTGCTGCTCTGGTTGTTACCATGGAAACAACTACCTCACCGCCAATAGTTTAAGCAGCTATGGGCCTTACGCTAATCACCACTGAGAAAAAGCCTCTGACTTTTCCTCTTAACTTTGCCCTTTTCTCACCCACTTTTCTCCCTACTGCTTCTCTCCTCCCAGGCCCTATCAGCCTTTTGTTGTGAGGACTCAATCTATGCTTCCACAGGAATGGAAGTCTGGGTCAAAGTAAAAAAAAATCAGCATGGAGTGAAGATTCACTATGGAAGTTTCTTCCAATTGCTACTTATCTATCATTAAAAACGAAATTACCTTTTGATGTGAATAAAGACCTCGCAGATCTTATTTTAGAAATTTTTTCCCTGCACTCCAACCCATTTGAGAAAATTCCTGTGTCATGTTTCCTGATTACATTTCAGAGATACTCACCTATTCAAATACGATCATGATATATGAGCTTTTTATTTGTCTTTCTTGCTATTTGTATTTTGTGGTTTTTACTCAGCTTCTGCCTATTGAATATAGTTAAATGAGGAGTTGTGGAAGCCATATATCTACTCCAAAGCTGATATTCACCACCTAATTTCAGGTGGCCCATATGAAAAATATTTATCCCCCAATGTATGTCAGTAGGGACAATGTCAATATATTTCACAAAGTGGGTATAAAATATCCAGAATGCTTATCAAGAACATGAAATAAAACTGACTCCGTGAGTATACATTTATTTTCCTTCTCTGACAATTGATAGCTGCTGTATAAAACATTTATATATCTGTAAAATTCTCCATTCTCCTTGTTAGGAAAGAATTTGACAAAACCCAAAAATCAGGACGAAAGGTGTTTATCGTTGCAATTTTGATTCAAGATCAGATTCCTATTCCCAAGAGTTAGAAAAAGTTGGAGACTGATTATTGATTTTGAATGAAACAAACTGAGTTAGGTGCTTCCAAAAATATTCACTGTTTAACATTCTAGCAGGAAACATCAGTGTTAAACCCGAGGATTTTATGCCATGAGGAGAGCAGCTGTTATGCATAAAGAGTAAGAGCAACGAGAGCATGTAAGTCATCCATAAATTATCCAGATTCATTGCCAACTCTGTTATAATAAACAAGACCAAACTTGCTGATAGAAGATGGCCCACAAAAAAATGGTTGGCTATGCTTCCTTGGATGTCATTAGTTCCTCAATTTTAGTTCCTCCTCAAAGTGACATGTCAGTTGCCACCTTTGCAATGACAGTCACGTGAATGAAACCTCCAAATCTGCCAGAGCAAGTCATCAATACCTGATAACCTGTTGCTCAAGGAAAAGCCCTCTGGACAGTAGCCAGAATCTGCCCCAGTTTATTAAACAAAACAAAACAAAACAAAACAAAACAAAACAAAACAAAAACAATGAAAATGATTCTGTAAGATTTTGCATAAGTGCGTTTCCACATTCAAGAAAAGCTTATGCACAGGGCTCGACATTAATGCTATCAGGAAAAAAATCATGAATATTCATATATTTGCTTGACAGCAATGTCTTTATTCAATTCAACAAGAATGTCAAGCACTAATTTGTAAGAAATAATATTTTCTACCTCAATTAAAAAATTCTCTTCTCTATATATATACATATACATGAATATATATTAGTAAGATATAAAAGATGTGATCATCACTTAGAATGTTCCAAATTCCACTAATGAGATGGATAGTGTATGTCAAGAAACCATAAAAATTGTCTACAGTGAAGCTCCAAAGGACTAAAAATCCTTGCATAATTCTTGGTAATATCTCTGCAGGTCACAGATGTTTTAGGTTACCTGTCTAAACTGAAGAAGAACAAACTCTGAAATTTTGTCTCCAACTGAATATAAGCACTGAAATCCCCATAAAAAATTTTATATTATATCAAATAGATAAAACTAACCCATTAATCAAGAAAATAAAGTGAAAAAATACTCTTCATGTATTACAAAAGTAACTTTTATAGAGCTTTAATATTTTAATTTTTAAAAATGAGAAATGTAAAACAGAACCTAATTCAAAGACACTTTGAAGTATTTAAAAGAAAACTACAGGCTTAATTTTATCGATAAACTTATTCGTCATTAATTTTTATCCTAATTTCTTCAGCAAGTTAAAAGAATTTACTGGAGTCATACCATAAAAAGGTCAAGGATGGATAGTTTCATTGAAATAAAAGCTAACTTGGTTTTCTTGCTCAGATTCAAGAAGAATCACAGCAGAAAAAGGTCATTTTTTTCTACCTTTTGATTTAATTTGTAATGAGAAGGAAATAGAGAGTGGGTAGCTTTAGGCCTTAACTGAATATTAAAAAGATGATATTAAAAAGTGATTTTGAATCTCTGATAACCTAAGAGATTATCTATTATCATCTTCAAAAGTCCTGTGAGTCTATGTTACTAAAATAAGATTTTGAGAAGAAAGGTAATTATGATATGGAAAAGGATTGATTAGAAGTCAAAACACTTCAGTTCTAGCCCCAGATTTACTCTTAGTAAGCTCCATAATTTTCAGCAGGTCACCTCTCACTTTCTGGGATCAGCCTTTTTATCTTTAAAGGGGAAGAGGTTAGTTTAAAACTGTGGACAGTGGAGGGAGGCTGAACAGGAGGCCCTGGGAATATACTACTCATTCCATACCTGCTTCCATTCATCTCACAAATAAACTATATTCCTTCGAATTTAGGACACTACTGATTTTAAGATGTGCCATTATTTCACATGCAACCAAGAAGGAAAAAACACTGTCAGATAAATTATAACACCCTATCAAATGCGTCCCAATTACAGAGGCTTTAAAATGTGAAGAAAAAAATCATTATCTTAGAACTGATAAAATATGGATAATTGAACGCCTCCGCTGTTCTGGCCGTGAGAGAGCGACATTCTGGAAATACAGTGCTGAGTAAAGTTGTCATGATAACACTCAGAAAGTTTAAGGGATTGGGCCCAAGCGAATATGAACTGGAAGTCTCAAAGCCTGAGTCTCTGATTCCAAGTTCAGTGGTCTTTCGTTATATGGCTTTGACCCCCAGGTTCGGGTGGTGAAATTTTGAAAGTAGATGCCTAAAAATGAAGACATAGAGCTACCAAACAGAAACTGGTTCATCATTAAAAATGCCTTTCATGCCTTCAATCAAGACAGCACTCTTCATCATGCTTTGATATTTTTTGAATATCAAAGAAGATATTCTTTGATAGAAGCACTTAGAAAGCATAATCTTCAAACACAAAATAATACAGTGTATGTTTTTTATGTGTATATATACATATGTGTATATTACATATATATCATGTATATATGTGTATAAAACACATATATATACTATGTGTTTCAACCACAAATAGTATTTTTAAAGTAGATATTTATTTTGAAGTAGAAAATAACTTAGTTTTCATCACAGTTTTCTACTTCAAACTTTTCTTTTAACCTATCAAGATTCACTTTTGAATACCAGGAATCTGAAAGAAAAATATAATGTAGGAGCTTGCAACCCAGATTATGGTCCAGGGCATGGATTCGAGCTTCTAAAATGGAATTAAGAAACCATTGCACACAATCTTGAATACAACAGGACTCAAACAAGTTTATGGGATATTTCCCAAATTGTAACTGAAATATAAAAATGAAAATGAGAGGATCAACAAGAATTCAAATAGAAAAGGTAAGAAATATAGGTTCAAACTTTAGGACAACCCTGAAAGCCTGATGCTGAACTAACAAAAATGTGAGGCAGTAACTTGTACTTAGTAAGGAAAAATAATCAATTGCTCAGAAGCATTGGCAAAGTAAGCCTGAAAAGTACAAGTGGACTAACAGATTACCTAATCTTATTATTTCAGATTGTGCACCAGTCTTGAAATGTTTCTTGTTGTTTTTTTTTTTTTCAGTCATGAGTGTAAGAATGGACTCATTACAGAATGAACAGATAAAATAATTTCTATTTCAATACAATTCAAGAATCACACAATGCTTTTACATAAATTCTAAAAAGAAGTTCGATATTTTGGATTTGAGAACAATGATGAAGAATATGCTCAAGAAGAGATCATGCTTTCCATCCTAGATCCTGTTTTCTATTGTTATTATTCTAATAACATTATTCTAATAATTATTGTTATTATTCTAATAACATGAAACTCTTAGTCTATAAATCATGAGCTAGTGGGATATAGAGAAAGAGGTAATTGAAGGAGACAAGGGATACTGGGAAGAAAATTTGCCTTTTGAGAGCTGAAACAAGCCATATGTCAATGTCTGTGTTATGTCTTTCTATATCCTATATCATCTCTCTCTTGCTATTTCTATCTCCATCTCCATCTCCATCTCCATCTCCATCTCCATCTCCATCTCCATCTCCATCTCCATCTCCATCTCCATCTCCATCTCCATCTCCATCTATCTCTATCTATCTCTATCTATCTCTATATCTACAGTTGACCCTTGAACAACTACAACTCAGGTTTTAACAGCATGGATCCACTTACATGCAACTTTTTTTCAATATACAGTCTGCCCTCTGTTTCACTGGGTTTCACATCTCCAAATTCAACCAACCGTGGATGTAAAATAGTATTTTTGATCTGCGGTTAGTAATCTGCTGATACGGAAGGCTGACTATGTGCATTAATCTACACCATTTTATATAAAGGACCTGAGCATCGGAAGTTTTGGTATCTGTGGGGGTCCTGGAACCAATCCCCCACTGATACTACGGAACCACTAAAGTTTTGAAGGAGTCAAAAGTCATAGGCAGATTTTCAACTACATCGGGGTTGGTATCCCTAACACCCTCATTATTTAAGGGTCAACTGTATATCTATATTAATATTTTTCTTTGGACTCATTTAGGTACCATGCCAACAATCTTCTTGCTTTAATAGTATTGTTTTTATTATTTAAACTTATTCTGTTAGATCCTAAATCCTACAGGTAACTTCTTGGGCAAAAATTACTCTTAGGATCATAAATTGTACTTAGATTTTATTCAAAATTATTCAGATTTCATTTTTTAGAAGCACTCATAAAATAACTTCTATATAACATTTTGGGAAAATAAATATCATCTTACCAGCTGCTTTTATGATGCATAAAATATTTTTCTAATTCATAAAATATGGCTCAGGCTTTCTGAGTTTATATAGGCACAATGAAAATCATAGTAATAATTATTATAAAATATATGTTTTTTATAATAAGAAGAGATTCTCAACATACCTCATGAAGCCGGAGGTCTTTCTCATAAACAAGCTTTTTTACAAATGCAGCTATAAATACAACCCAGGCAACCATGAGCACAATTGGAAGAGAATAAGAGACACTGGTTAGGAAGCTGTAAAAAAACAAAAACAAACAAACAAACAAAAAAAATCCAGTGACCAAAATGAATGTTATACTTGCAGATTATAATATATAAAGAACACATTCATCCTTACACTGAAATTATACTCCTGTTTTGAAATTGAGAATAATCATTAATATTATTCCTTTATTTATGAAGTGTGAAACTGACTTAACAGTGGGCCCATGATTTTCTTGCCGTAATGTTGCCAGAATCAAAAACAGCTCTGGATTGTTAGATAAAATTGCCATATTGCTTAAAATGTGTTTGAGTATGCCCTGTCCAGGAAAATAATTATTGTATAGATATAATTTCAAGGCTCACAACACTTCTGCCTAAACTAAATTCTTATCTAAAAGGTAGATTTAAAATTAGATGATAATTGGTTTATCTAGCTAAAAGCTATATCTTCTCAAATTACTGTATTTCTCTACTCTTTGGAAGCTCATAGTGATTATTAAAACTAAATTTCCCCAAATAAAATAAAACTCAAAACATTCCATTTAAAATACAGACAAATAACTTGGATTCCTCAAAATAATGCTTCAGGAGATGTTTTATAAATAGCATAAAAATGTCTTTTCCAGTAATGTGCTAACTGGAGGGTCACTGGAAACTTCATCAGGATCCAAATACACTCCTGAGTGGCCTGCTCATGATACCTGAAAGTTCAAATGCAGTGTTTCTCAAATTTGAGCATGCATCAGAACCACATACAAAGCTTATTGCCCCACCCAAAAGCTTCTGATCTGTTACATCTGGGGTGGGGTAAGGAATTTGCATGTTAGACTATTTCCCAGGTGATGCTGATGCTGTTGGTCCAGGGACTGTACTTTGAAAACTATGGCTTCCTACATTAGCCTCCTTCCTATGGGCTAAGGCAAACGAATAGTTTTAAATGAGATAAACTCTAAATTGATCTGTTTTGCATATTAGGCTCCATTGAAGCTTTTACTTGGAGTAAGGACCAAAGCCATTTCCTTTTTAATCGATAAGGCTAAGGAATTACCTTCAAGTTCTCCATGAAAAATGCAAATATTAATGGAACATGACATCACCATCATTCATTCTCACTTTAGCATCAGAAGTGTATCACCATCATAGATATGCAGGGGGATTTTTTGTGGGGGAAGAGTGAGGGTTGGGCCATATCCAATTTTTTTTTGTTCCTGGAAAACTGTCTGGCATAGGAAGGCACTTAAAGAATATTTGTTGAATGAATTTGATCTTGACTCAGGTCCAGCCTCAATGCTGTTTCTGGCTCTGAAATTAGGCAAAAGCCCTCATTTATTAATAACAAATCCCTTGTAATGTTTCTTTCAAGTGAGTGTGTATTTTAAGTTCGGTAGAGGATAAAGGATAAAATTCTGGTCTTGTAATTGAAGGACCAGTGAGGTGCCACCTGTACAACTTAGGACAAAATACTTAACCTTTCTGAATTTTAGTTTTTTTTCCTCTGGAAAATATGGCTGATAATACCTGTCTCCATTTACCTCAGGAAGTTGTTGGGTGGGACAAATGAAATAATATGTGTGAAAGCACTTTGTATTCAACAAAGAGTTTATATGTACATATAAGGCATTATGATCATACTCCCATAAAGAATTCAGAGTATATTTACTTTTTTTTCTTAAAAGAAACATCCAGGTACTCACCATCCCAGATACCAAAATTTACAAAGGGAAAAAAATGTGAGCAAGAAAATAGATGAGAATTTTCATTTAATTGAACCCACAGGTCTTTGCTATTCACGCAAGCCTTTGCAGTTCACACATGGTTCAGGCTGCAAGGTCCTGACTGGCCTTCACAATAAGCAGCTCACCTTGACAACCCATTGAAGAAATTCTCACCTGTCTGCCCATATCACCGCTGCACAAAGGGTTACATAACCTCATCTCCTCTATAGTTCTTGAAGCAGCCAAGGGAGACAGAGCATCAATAGGAAGAAAAAAGGCGGGGGGTGGGGGGAGCATCCAGAAGCATCTGAATTGTATATAAACTGCAATAACTGGGCTGAATAACAGGTACAGTTCCTTTAAAGTAATGTTCAGCCTCAAACTTTTGTGTAGGATGAGCTTAAAAAATGTTGTACTCCAGCCTTATTTTTATGTATGTATTTATTCACTTTTACCATGGTCAAAGTGATACCTGACAGGCAGATTTCTTGAACATTCCAATTCAATTGTCTAAAAGCATAATCTTTACATTTTTTGTTCATTTAGCAAAAACACTTTAGATAAGGTTTCTTAGCAAGTGGACTGATAGTACATAACATAGTTTTAGATGGCATAATATTTATTTTAGAGAGTTGATCAATGATTTGTCCCATCAAATTTTTCTTTAAAATTAACTATGCGCTCACAGATTTTTAAGCAAATATGAGAGTTGGAAAATAATTTTAAGATTGTCTTATTCAACTCCCTCATTTGCTGAGAGAAAAGTAAGACCAGCTGGGAGTAGGTAACATTAAAAATCATGCAACGATGATCTCAAGTCTGAGGTCCAATTCTCCAAATTCTGGAGACCAAGTCTTTGGAATACTAAGAGTTATGATAAGGAAAACATGGATTATTTGGTAAGATGTTCCCATCATTTTGGTAACAAAGAGGAGCTACAGTAGAATGGTGCTCTATAGTGTGAACTCTACCATGGAAACCAGCATTGACAAAGGTTTGCCGAACATTATCCCTTTCTCTTGATACAGGTGAATGAATGAGTTCTCAAAAAAGTGGTTGACTATTAACAAGGGCTAGAAGTGCACAGACTTACTTGTCTTTCATGTAGCAGGGATAAGGAATTGCCTGGACCTGGACTGCTATTTCCTGAGAGTTCCTTCCAGTCTGCAATTCAATGATTGCTCTTTCAATATTATCTTGTAAATAAACAAAAGCCCTGCCATAGATCTGATTGTGTGATGGAGAATTATGTGGTCCTGGGGCCCAAATCTTGGTTCTTATGTTTCTCGTCGTCTGTGAGGTCTTGAGACTCATGCGGATGGTATATTTTATGACAGGAGGAAGAGAGACATCTTCAGAGTCATAGCCTCTGTGTTGGCTTCTGTTAGAAGGAAGCTTGAAAATAACACCTAAAAATAAAGTGGCAACAACAGCAGAAAGGTTATTTTATGGTTGACATTATTCATTGTTTGGAGGGTATGCATGGGAGAGGCCAAACACAGGTAATCAAGTTAGTAATGTGATAGTAAGTTTGAGCTCCTAATTGATAGAAAAAATGGCTAATTGAGAGTGACATACTCAGAGATTCAAAGCAAGAGTTCGAGGATATAATCACAAACTAAATGGCTAGATTAAACATATCACTCTAAGCCACTTACTGAAATTACACACACACACACACACACACACACATTAAAATACATAATCTTGACTGATTATGAGGATGGGCTCGACTTTACCGTGTAACTATGTAATCCTTTTCAGTCTTAATTTTAGCTGTACCAACAAAGTTATACATTTGTGAAAGGCTCCTCAGACAATATGGTTGGTTGACTACATGAAAGGTTCTTGTTTCTAAGGACATCAGAGGGGACAGTGACCCCCCAGACTACTTTTCTGAGTTCTGGATGAAAGAGGTGAGGAAAGAATTTGGCCAATTTTAGTACAAAGAGAAGCTCAAACTCTAGTAGACTAACACTTACTTCCAAAGAGTTCGTTGCTTTTGTAGAGTCTTTTAGCCTCTCTCTCCATTTCATCTACACTTTTTGCTGCCTGAATACGATCATATAATACACAGGAAGAAATATTTACTGTAAGGGAAGACAGTGTATTGAGATGATTGATGAGGTCAATGCTGTTCTCCAGTTTCAGCCTTAGAATATCTAAAGCAAAGCAAAACAGACAAAAAACACATTATAATATAATTTAATGTTGTTTCTAGTAGTAATGAGACAAAATATTGAAATTTTGGTTAAGTATATTAAACTAGATTATAAAGAATAGAAAGTTGTAGAATTTACTTTAAAAATGTCTAGTACCCTATATCTAGAAAAATGTGTCCAGTGAGCAAATATTCATTGAGAATGTTGAGCTAATTACAAATACAGTAAATTCAATTTTAAAGAATGAGACAAGCTAACTTAAAAGTATATTCTGCTATGATTTAATTAACTGAAGACTAAACATGAATAATCAAAAAAATCTATCTATATGTAGTTAGGAAAAAAACTATAAATTAGAGATGAAATTTTGAATAAACAGTAATGCTTGCTTTGTTCAGGGAATGTGAGTGAAAGAATTTAAACAAAGGAAAGTCTATGCAGAGTGTGTAGAATGAATAAACTATATAATTCAATAAGTTGTGCTACAGAATCATTTCTTTGGAAACTGAGAATCTGTGCCACATACTTACAATTTTCTAATATTATTTGATTTAAAACTGTATGTGGGTTATCTCTATAATATATGTATTTATGCTAGATAAAACAATCAAGATTTTATTTCAAGTAATTACTCTGGAAGAGCATTTAATTGCTCTTCAATTTCATGATTTCTTATGAGGAAATCAACTGAGACAAAAGGTAAATATGAAATTGCAATTTAATAAATCACTTGGCCAATTAAATTTTCATTGACTTGATCATCATGAATCTTGAGAAGACTGTTTATATCATAAATCCCTCCTCACTGAACCCAAACAGGTCTCTTCCATTGTCCAATATAAAACCAAATTTCGCATAGAAGGCAAGTTCTTAAATTTCTTAGAATTTAAAGTGAAATGTTTTGCTTGATATAGATGTTGGTGGGGGAGGGTAAAATTGTGGTTGAACAGTGGCCCCCAGTGGCCATTGGAAATCAATAAAACACCAAGGATTCTTTAGAAATGCTGGTAAACAGAATCAAATAAGAGCTGTGAGGGTCAGTGCCTCCCAAATTCAAACTATACAACCTCTTAGCTATTATGTTACATATACAATTATACAGACATCAAGTCTTGCTGCTGTGTTCATTTTAGTCTTATTTTAGATTATAAAAATCGTCTCCTACATCTAAAGTTATGAATGATAAAATAACTTTATTTTATTTACAAGAACTTTGTAGTATATCTCTGATATTTTGATTCAATGGTTTCTTACTCAAATAGTACTTTTAGAGAATAAATCGCTAACATCTTTCTTTAATCAAACTGGGCTATCATAAAGTGCATACAGTTATATACACTATATAGTATAAATGTAGGCATGATTCCTCCCCACTGATTTGCAACCTAAGGCACTATGTACCTGTAGCTCCAGAGAAGAGGAGGGGCATTTGCTCTACTGCTGCCAAATTCTGATGTTCTCAATCCCTTTCTCTACCAGTGGTTGCATAGCAACGGTGAATCAGACAGACTGAATTAGATGTCTTGCAACTCTTCGGTTGAAGGTGGGGATGTGGCAGAGGGAATGCATAAGTTCAGACAGCTTCCTTTGATCCTCTATGGCCTGTTCCTTTTAAATGACCGTGAGAGGAGAATCCAACCAGACTACTGATTTAGGTTTATTTCCTTTTGAGTCTTCGCATTACTTTTGTTTTGCTTTTGCTAACTCTATAACCTCTTCCAGTTACATTCTGGGTTAGTCAGAGTAATACTGAAGCCAGAGGAGATAAAATGGTAATGTAATCAGAAATAAACCATTTTATCTTTCTTTGTCCTTCAAGGACCTGTTTTTCCTCAAGCTAGCACACACACAAAAAGTGTCCTTACTTCTAGCAACCCACCAACCTACCTATTTTTGTAGGAAAAGCTGCACTTACATAGAATATATTGCATTATAATTATGGAAACTTACAACAGACACTGGGTAGCCAAATAATCATTACCACTTGTAATTATACAACTAACTGGGAAGAAGATGGACAGAGATATAGGCAGGATTTTATTTTTCTTTGAAAAACTGGCTAGAAACCAAATATGGAAGAAAAGGAAAAGAAGTTCTCATATGGAACAATGTTTTTCACATTTCCGATATGACTAGTGAATAACAGTGTGAATCTGGACTCACCGAGTTCATCTATCTGTTTCAATAGTTCAACAGCATCAAGTCCCACGGAGAATTTTACAAACACTTGCACAAAGGGGTTCCTGAGAGTGTTCTAACAAGTAATAATAGGAAATCCATTTCAGTACAAGAAGAAAACATGTTAATCATTGTCTCTCTAATAATACCCACAGTGAAATGCAGTAGCCACTACTAGATATTGTTATCAATGTACCAACTTGCAAAGGCTTGCATACAAATTTTTGAGAAAGAAAGAGTTGTATGTGGCTGGTAATGGCTTGAAAGGCTGGGCTTTTGCTTGTTTATAGACACAAATTGGTCGGCACGTGAAAGTGCCCAGATATGACCATAATAATCAACATTAGGAAATTATATTCAATTTAATGGTCTTTTTTCCTATGGCTATTATAGCATTTGTTTTTAACATATGGTATACACAATTTTGATGGTTCATGGTTGAATTTTGTTCAACTGAAACAAAAACAACTTTTAAAAATTGTGATATCTACATGCATTTGACATTACAACTCATTTGTATACTAGTTCTACCAATTTCTGGCTGTGAAGCTTTCAGCAAGCACTTGGCTTTTTCCAGCTAAAGGTTACTTTTCTTTAAAGTAGGGATGAATGACCATTCTTACCAGAATAGCCAAATGTAAATTATTATAATGTTATTTTATATTGTAATAAGTATAACCAGGTGAACATGGAAAAATAAATATGATAAAATTTTAAATTACTCTATATATGTAGAAGGACTAAAAATTTTAAAATAAAACATAGCTTTTAAAATATGAAGGCTTTTATAATTATCTTCAAATTAGGAGATATAACTTCTAAAATTGTAGAAGTACTACTCAGTAATACTTATTGAGGTCCTACTATGTGCTGGGCACTGTCTAATAAAGTTTTCCTTGATTTTCTCAGTTTTCGATAACACCTGTGGTATTTTTATTATCCCCAGTGAACAGATGGCAGAGTTAGAGCTAAAGGAACTGCGTAAATTCCCTTAAGGAGCCACAATACGAGCCAAGGGGAAAGTTGAAGGGAAAAAATTCAAATCGATTAAAAAAATATTAATTCATCTTAGTGTAAATTCATGACTAGTTTTTATGTGACCTAGGCTTAAGTTGGTTGTTCCTTTAGAAGATAGTTCAGTATCATTTATTATTTTGTCCTTCTTAACAATATCTTCTGTTTTGTTAACATAGAAATAAATGATTGAGAATAACATGTATTAATAGAACATACATATATAATGGAATTAATTTAATAAATTTGTAGCTGTTGAGGGGTCTAAGAGTAGTTGGTACCGTGCAGACCAATGGCTGTCACACAGATATAAACCATGATAACCAGAGTCCTTTAAAATCTAGTTACCAGGAATTAACTGATGCATCATGGAAAATCTGAATCAGAGCATTACCAATAGGCAAAGCACTGCACTCGCTGCAATTCAGAGATGACCCAATGAACCTATTTCCATTTTCCCATTACTCTTTTCATAGTCAGTCCTCTCTCTGATTTATAATACTATTTTTAAATGCTTCTACACATACGATCTTCACAAGTCTATGAAGTGGTTATCATTTTGGATATTCACAAACTTCAAATCAGTATTTTAAGGCATTGGCCTAAGGGTTCACAAGGGCAAACCCAGGTCTTGGTACAAAAGTGTGAAACTTCAAATTCTGTGCACATTTGCAGAAATAAATTTGTCCTCAATCATTGAGAATAATAATTTATTTTGTTCTGGAACAGAATGAAGATACTTTCAGTAGATGATGATCCCTTTGTGGACATGGTCACAGAGTTTCTTAGTAAATGACTACACTTGGGAACTATAATGAATAGGTCATGTCCTTTGCTAATTTACCACTTTAGCCAACAAAACTTTCCTTAATAAAATAACATGTGTTTTTTTTAATTTGTTTACAGAAAAAAAGTTTTAGAAGAGTAATCTCCCACTTATGAATATACATATACCAATAGAATACTATGTAAATAGACTTTGTTACCTGAGAATCACTTAAAAAAAAAAAGGCCACTTAAAATGAACG